TGCGGACCATTTTTATTTATATAGTGCTCTGTGAACACAAATTAGTTAGCATAAATCAGATAAATGACGAAAAATTAGGTGTCTATTTACTTGTGACCACTCAGTTTATGTGCATTATTTATGCCCCTGACTGAAAGAGGTCTTAAACACTTTCAAAATAAAATTATTTTCAGTGAATTTAATTAACATATTTTTTTGCCTTATACAGATGATAATAGATGATAATATCCCTATAGTTTTGTTATTGAACTGATCATAAAATACCTGTATGAAAATGAACCCAATGACTGCTGATTCACCATATATGGTATGGTTAGCCTGTAACAGTTGAATGCAGATGTGCCGTATATAGTGCACAGCTTGCCAAAATTCTGTGCACATTTAGAGCAGCCTCAGTTAATGGGTTAATCTATTAATTTAAATAAGTTCTTTTTCTATAAAGATGTTTATTTCCTTAAATGTAACATTTTTTTTATAATTAGTGGATATATAGGTTTTGAAACAACTCACAGTAGCTTTTATTTTTCACAGATGTAAAAAAGATGCCCCTGGGAAAATTGAGTAAACAACAGATCTCTAAAGGATTTGATTCATTGCTAGAAGTTGAAGAAGCCATTAAAAACAAAAAGGTCAAAAGCTTTATTTTTTATGGCTTTTTCTTTATGCATATGAAAATGAATACCACGTTGTAAGAGCCATTGTATTTATATCTGTAATTTAGATAACATAAATGCTGTAATTTTTTTGCCTATTTAATATAAAAAGTCTCATTCTTGTGATATTTCTTTCTTAATGTGTTGAATTATGGTTCTTTTTTAGTCACATAGTGTCATTTAGCATGTTTTGTTGTTTTTGTCTCAAAGGTATTCTTAAACCAATTATTGAAGATACTTTTTCTTCTAACAGTCGTGAATGATATATAGTCATGGCTTAAGATTTTTCTGAAGTGTTCAAAAATATCTCTAATTGTAGTAGACTGTATATCACCATTAAGTTATTTATTGAAAAATAAAACTATATGGTCCACTTTCCTTATAATTCAAGCATCATGATTTGCACCATTGTTTTTTTTCTTTTATTATTTAGAAACATTACTAAATGATACTTGATACTTTTTTTGTTTCAGAATTATTTTTTAATATAATAGCTTAGAGTGCCTCAGAAATTTGAGACTAATGTCATTTTGTACAAACTAGTTTACTTATGTCATTACTTGATCGACAGAAAAAAAAAAGGAGTTTCACCTCTGTGGTAAACATGAAAGTGACATGACTAAACTTATCATCAGAAGTATTTCTGTCTTTAGTAACTGATTCTCTGGAAGATTTTTGTTGGCCTTTCTCAACAGTTATGTTCCCAATGAAAATGTGGTTTAAATTCTTTACTACAGCAACCTGCCTTTTTTCATTTGGAAAACTGTGCTTATGAAAATTTTAATTGTTTCCTATATCAACAATAAAAAATTGTTTTTAGAATAATTAGAAGTATGAACAAACTTGGACATGCTTAAAGAATTATATGATATCAGATATGCAAAATATTATAAATATAGAGTTTGAGTACATTATATTAAAATTATTTTGTATCCTTACAACATCATCACAGCCCATGCTACCAGTCCAGTACTGCTGTATCTAATGTCCATGTGTTTTAAAATAGCCCTACAGCATAGTTTCCATTGCAAAAGACACTGTCATAAGGCTATAATATCAAAAGCACAACACTACTCCATGTATGATTTTTCATAATACAGAGACATCTCAAAAGTAAATAGACACCATGATGTTTATTCAATAGTCATTTAATTAAGAAAGGCATACAATGGCTCCCATGGCCAAGTCAGTCACCTGATATGAAGCCCATTGAGCATGTCTGGGCCATACTTGCTCGAGCAGTGAGAAGAAGTTCCAGAAAACACGCATCTCATGGAGAGCTACTTGATGTTTTGCATGCAGCCTTGGTCAAGATCCTATAGGAGAAAATTGCAAACTTATTGATTCCATGCCAGAACAAGTCAAAGCATTGAAAAATGCTAGTCGCAAATCAACTAAGTACTGATGCACATTTGTAAACATTTTTGTCAAGTTGATAATGTGAGATAAATGGCTATTGAAGAACATCATGGTGTCTGTTTACTTTTGAGATGTCTCTGTACATCTAGTGTATGGGAAAGTTTAGTTTTCCAGCACACCTTTTGAACAATCTGATCACACAGAAATCCATATTCGCTGCATCTGGTGATTTGATTGGTATGTCTTTGTATGGAATAAGATGAATACCCATTTAATTCACCAACTGCTTGAAAGATATGACAGTTGAACTGATATGTTATGGAAGCAATTTGTGTATGTGTGATTTATGTCATTTTTCCAAACAGAAATCCTTTTTTGATTATGTTAGATGCTGTTATATGAGACATCTGGATTCTTTCACCATTGATCTTTGTGTTTGTGGATTCTCACCTGTTACAAGATATATCAAACTTTACTTATCATGGCTTGAGTTGTTGCAGGTCTCTTTTTGAATGGTTCTGGCTCACCAAGTTAATTCATATTCATTTGTTTTTTAATGTAGTTAAGTACAAGGGATATTCCATCTTGGAAATTTTACATACCCTACCTGAATACATTTTTATGATCTGAGTGTATGAATACCTTGTGTTGAAAGGAACTGTAACATACTCTTCCCAAAATAAGTCAATTTTTTTCAGTAGCATCACATTACCTATGATCTACCCAATAATGTCAAAATGTATTTCTGGTACATTTAATTCCACAGTAACTTTATATTGGCTTTGGTTGCCATAATACTTGCTGATTTTCATATTCAAAATCTTTTTAATGTAGTGTACTCATTCTCCTGATGGCCAGGCATGGCCAGGTGGTTAGGTGTGACGGTCAATCCCATTATTCGTTGGTAAAAGAGTAGCCCAAGAGTTGGTGGTGGGTGGTGATGACTAGCTGCCTTCCCTCAAGTCTTAAAATGCTAGATTAGGGACGGCTAGTGCAGATAGCCCTCGTGTAGCTTTGCACGAAATTCAAAACAAACAAACAAACATTCCCCTGAATAGTTTTACTAATGTATTATAACAGGGGTTATCACAGACATTGTTTTTTTTTTACTTAACATGTTCATGGAGCAGTAACACTAATGCTTTACTATATAATTACTTGGTATCAGAGAATTATTTGATTTTAAATATATACATGAGATTATTCTTTTACCAAAGGTGAGTAAAATTTTACTGAAATCTGAATTATACTATTTCTAATCTCTTCTTATGCTCTTTTTTGTGAAGTAGCATGTAAATAAGCCAATTTTATAAACTTTTTTAAACAGACACAATTTTTTATAAATTAACTTAATACAATTTGAAAATTTATTATTATTTATAGTTTTTAGTCTGTAATTTTTACAACAGAGCAAAAAAGACTTGGAACAGCTGACAAATCGGTTTTACACCCTCATACCCCATGCATTTGGAAGACAACGTCCACCAATTATTGATACTCTTGAAATGATTCGACAGAAAAAGGACATGCTGTTAGTATTGAACGACATAGAAATTGCTCAGAGCCTTTTGAAAGAAAAGGCTGACAACAAACAGGTAAATCTGCAGTACTTTTTATGTCATAAGAGTCAACTAATGGATGAACGAGATTTTTAACTTGTAGAATAAATTTCAGGTTTTTATGTTATTTTAAGAAATTCAATTTTGTGACCAGTGGTGGGATTCAAATATCTTAAC